TTTTTAATACATTGTTTCCAGTTTAGGATGTTGAACGCTGGATCTTCTTGACTCGATTCATGGGTTTGCTTGTGTCTCTGTTTTTATGACTAGGCAACTCTTTCTATTATCTCCAAATGAGGATACAGCTCTAAAACTCAGTTTTATGGTTCTGAGGCCGGCTGGTAGTCAGGTTTCCCGAACTCTGTGGTAGCTCTCAGCGAGGCTGATTCCATCAACAGCTGAAAATTATCAGAGTACTAACAGTGCCATGTTGCGCATGGATGGTGTCCCTGTTTGTAGTTTTCGTGTGCATTGCCAAGGCCACATTGGAGCCCTTTGTTACGGCTTAGGGTTTATTAGTGGAAATGAGGCAATTGCTTGAGCTATAAAACAGTGTACTGAGTACTATCTATGTTTCGAGTCAAGTTCTTTAACAAATCTAAAAATGAATAAAGTAACAAAAACTATAAAACACAAAAAACCACAGTCATCACCAAGTTCGCTAAACCTATCATTCATCAATATTTGTGGTCTTCGAAGTAACTTTTCTTTTATTGAGTCTTACCTCTTGCAAAGTTCACCAGACCTACTTGCTCTTTGTGAGACTAATTTGAGTTCAGCTGTTTCATCTTGTGATCTTAGTGTTGATGGTTATCTTCCTTTAATTTGTAAAGCCTCCAATAGTCACATGCTTGGCCTGGGCATTTACATTCGTAAGAATTCACATATTTGTCAGAAAACTAGGTTTGAATCCACAGACTACTCTTTTATGTGCTTTCGTTTAGCACCACTTCACTCTATTACCTTTCTCTTTGTTCTATATCGCTCTCCCTCATCTCAAGACTGCACTCTTCTTGATGTTATTTCTGATTATATTGGCCAAGCCCTCATTCTTTATCCATCAGCCAATATTGTTGTTGTCGGTGACTTTAATTTTCATCACACTAAATGCTTGGCTCTAGTGTCAGTGACTCTGCAAGCATTAAGGCCCACAACTTTTGTCTTTCTCAATCCCTAACTCAAATAGTCAACTTTCCAACTGGTTTTCCAGACAACCCGAATCATTTACCTTCTCTACTCGACTTATGTCTTGTTTCTGATCCTAGTCAGTGCTCAGTTTCTTCACACTCACCCTTAGGTGCGTCTGATCATGGTTTGGTCTCTCTAAAACAATTATTTCATTCTTCTTTACAATCAGAATCCCCCTATCATCGTACATTTTACAACTACATTAAAGCTGACTGGGACTCTTTCCGTGATTTTCTTCGTAATGGAATCTTTCGTCTCCCTGTTGACAAATGTGCTTCTTACATAACTTCGTGGATTCAGGCTGGCATGGAATCCTTTATTCCCTCTCGACAATTCCAGGTCAAGCCTTACTCTTCTCCATAGTTTTCCTCATATTGTGCTGCTGCAATTGCCAATCGAAACCATTACTTCCATATCTATCAGCAAAACAATTCTCCAGAAAACAGTCGTCTGTTCATTACTGCTAGGAACCATTGTAAAAAGGTTTTGTCTAACGCCAAAGCTCGCTATTCTCAGATCATGAAATCTCGTATTTCATCACAAAAATTATGCTTTCGTGACTTCTGGAGAATCTTTAATAGTATCAATAATAAGGACAAGTCTCTTACTCCACCTCTTTTGTATGGTTCAGACTTTGTCACCTCACCTAAAGACAAAGCTGAATTGTTTGCCAAGAACTTTTCATCAATATCATCTCTTGATGCCACTAGTTGCGTTCTACCTGATATAGCCGTCAAACAGGTTGATCCATTGCTCGACATTCGTATCACTCCAGCTTCTGTATCTAAAGTGATTTCCCGATTTGACTCTTCTACAGTTTGCGGCCCAGACAACATACCTGTTATAGTCTTACAGAAGTGTTCTCCGGAGCTATTGTCTATCTTTTCAAAACTATTTAACAAGTGCTTATCAGAGTCTTTAAAAATTCTGGAGAGCAATCCGATTTGTCTAACTACCGTCCCATTAGTCTTCTTCCTATCATAAGCAAGGTTTTTGAATCTTTAGTTAACAAACACTTAATCTCTCATCTCGAATCTCATAACCTACTTTCTGATCATCAATGTGGATTTCGACCTTCTCGTTCTACGGCTGATTTGCTATCAGTAATAACCGATAAGTTTTATTGCGCATTAGATAAAGGTGGAGAGGTTAAGGCCATCACTCTTGACATTTCTCCAAGGTTCAATCCTTGGCCCTATACTCTTTTTAATTTACATTAACCACCTTCCAGATATTCTCACATCTAAGGCGGCATTGTTTGCTGATGATACAACCATTTATTCTTGTCACGATAAGAAGCCAACTCCCTCTGATTGTTTGCAGGAAGCATCTGAGCTTGAAAAAGATCTCACTTCTGCTACAGCATGGGGCTCACAGTGGCTGGTGAACTTTAATTCAGATAAACCTCAATTTTTTTCGGCCAATCGTTATCGCAATAATTTAGACCTTCCTATATTTATGAACGGTAATGCACTCGATGGGTCTCCTACCCTTCATCTTCTAGGATTAACTCTTACTTCTAATCTTTCTTGGAAACCTTATATCAAATCCGTTGCAAAATTAGCATCTGCTAAAGTTGCTTCTCTTTATCGAGGTCGTCACTTTCTTACTCTGGATTCTATTCTCTATCTCTATAAATCTCAAATCCGGCCTTGTATGGAATACTGTTGCCATATCTGGGGCGGATCTTCTAATGATGCCCTTTCTCTTTTAGACAAGGTGCAAAAACGCATTGTAAACATAGTTGGACCTGCTCTTGCAGCCAACCTTCAACCTCTGTCACATCGTCGTAATGTTACTTCTCTTTCTCTTTTCTACAAATACTATAATGGGCACTGCTCGAAAGAGCTAGCGTCTCTTGTGCCATCTACTAAAATTCATTTTCGTGTTACTCGTCATTCAATCAAGTCTCATCCTTTTTCTGTTACTGTTCCTAAGTGATTCAAAAATTCTTATTCGTCTAGTTTTTTTCCTCGAACATCAGTTCTTTGGAATTCACTTCCTTCATCTTGCTTTCCTGATTCATATAATTTGCAATCTTTCAAGTCGTTTGTCAATCGTTATCTTGTTCTCCAATCTTCATCTTTTCTCTTCCAGTAACTTCCAACACTAATTAGTGGTTGCTTGCATCCTTGTTGGAAGCGAAGATAATTAAAAAAAAAAAAAAATTTGACTGATCTGATCTTTATAGGAAATATCTGGAGAGCTGTCAAATACCGAACAAATGTATTTATCTTGCTTCATTTGATCAATAATTGTTTCTTCTTACTGCACCTCCTTATATCTCAATGAATTCATTTTGTATCATAGCCAACTATCCTTTTAAAACAAATCAATTTTTAATAAACAATAAACTTTGATTTTAGTTACAATGTAAATTATTTGTTTAAATACAGGTTCTTTTTATTCTTTCATTTTTTACATTAAAAATGCTTCATTTCTTTGACAAAAACGTTTTAAACTCTCTAGAAAACAGTTTAGAAAAACCTTGACACGTATTTGTTTTCAAGAGCATTTTTTTATATAATAGTTCAATTTATATTTAACATTATTTAGTGAACAGAACGTGACTTGCTATTACTTAAAACGGTATCTTCATCGTATGAAGATATTGTTTTATGAAATGATCCATGACATACCAAATTTTCTAGACAATTGATGTTGATTAACTTCATTTTAGAAGCCAATTAGTATTTGCATTCATTAAACTTTAATAATAATGTTTAGTAATGTTTTCACATTAGCGAAAAGCAAGTGATGCATTGGTAATTGAGAATGTTCTGCTTGAACTTCTTCTCCCTGAATCTTCTCCCTGTTCTTAGTTGGATCTAAAGAAAATTACTATAAACTTCTAGAATCAGTCTTTGACATTATTGAACCCTCGTTGTTCCATATTTTTAATATTTTGTTAACATTTGTTTTTGTACCAAGTAGACTTAAAATTGCCAAAACCAAACCAATTTTTAAGACGGATGATAAAACATAAGTCCATAAGTTTCTGGTACGCATTTTATACATCAAGCTCTATAACTACCTAACATCAAATAGTATTTTGTACAATAAGCAATTTAAAAATTTTGTTTAATTCTCACAAAGACTTAAATAAATTTAAAATACTTAACGAAGAACTATTAAAGTAAATGAATGGCTTATAAATAACCGGCCTTCACTAAGCGTAAATAAAATTAAATTGATGCTGTTCTACAAGCCCAATAAAGTTCCAATTAAATTGTCAAGTCTTTTACTTTTCAAAACAGTTATTAGAAATTAATTTATTGTTACCTTCTTAAGAATGATGAAAATTTGACTTGAAGGTTCTGCATCCCATTTATTTAAAGTAAAACTTAAAAAAATATTTTTACAAAATGTTTTTTTTTACTTTTTGTTTTAGTGCCTCAAGAAGACCTAACTGTTTTGTCACATCTCAAAATAGCAATTAACTAGGAAGTTCACGCCTTCTTACTTACCAATGGCACGAAATATGTCCCGATCTCGCCTCGAACCCTGGATACCTCTACCTTCTAAAGCAAGCGCTCTAACCACTGCGCCATGTATATATATATATATATATTTATATATATATATATATATATATATATATATATATATACATATATATATATATATATATATATATATATATATATATATATATATATATATATATATATATATATATATATATATATATATATATATATATATATATATATATATATATATATATATATATATATATATATATATAAGTAGTAAGAGATTGCCGGTATTTGCTCATTTTCATTTTCAACCTTATTTTCAACCATAAATTAATATTAATATAGGGTTCAATGTTAACCATATTGTGTATAATTTATTTAGATAAGAAATAATTTTTTATTTTAAAAAATCAATTTTTTAAAATAAGTGTTAATTTTTATTTCTTGTTATGAAATGTTACGAAAAATTCTTGCATGACGTCACGTGACTTTCTTGCTGTTTCTAAAGCGTTATAAAATGAATCCATACCCTAATTCATGTAAATATTTAATTACTTCAAGGTGATCATTCATTGAAGCATAATCAATTGCAACATGAAAGTATTCATATCCTTTTGAATGTAAATACTTTACTACTTCAAGGTGGCCATTTTCTGCAGCTTTATTAATTGCCCAATTTAAACATCTATATCCTTTTGAATGTAAATACTTTACTACTTCAAGGTGACCATTTTCTGCAGCGTAATTAATTGCATCTTTTGTTCCTTTATACCCTAATTCATGTAAATATTTAAGTACTTCAAGATGTCCATTTTCTGCAGCGTAATTAATTGCATCTTTTGTTCCTTTATACCCTAATTCATGTAAATATTTAAGTACTTCAAGATGTCCATTTTCTGCAGCGTAATTAATTGCATCTTTTGTTCCTTTATACCCTAATTCATGTAAATATTCAAGAACATTTAAACTTCCATTTTCTGCAGCGTAATTAATTGCATCTTTTGTTCCTTTATACCCTAATTCATGTAAATATTCAAGAACATTTAAACTTCCATTTTCTGCAGCGTAATCAATTGCCCATTCAGAACCTTTATACCCTAATTCATGTAAATATTTTAATATTTCAAGGTGACCATTTGCTGCAGCGTAATTAATTGCATCTTTTGTTCCTTTATACCCTAATTCATGTAAATATTTAAGTACTTCAAGATGTCCATTTTCTGCAGCGTAATTAATTGCATCTTTTGTTCCTTTATACCCTAATTCATGTAAATACTTTACTACTTCAAGTTGACCTTCTTTTGCAGCTTTATCTATTGCATATTCTATACCTTCATAACCTAACGAATGTAAATATTTTAATATTTCAAGTTGACCTTCTTTCACAGCAATATCAATTAAATCTTCAGGTCCTCTATACCCTAATTCATGTAAATATTTTAATATTTCAAGTTGACCTTCTTTTACAGCATTATCTATTGCATCTTCTATACCTTTATAACCTAACGAATGTAAATATTTAAGTAATTCTTCTGTCCCTTTTTCTCCCATTTGAATTAATAATTTAATTAAATCTCTATTTCCTATACTTTCAGCAAAATCAACTTTATTACCTTGTTCATACCCATAGTTTTTTAATATTGCAGTAATATAATATATTTGAGTTGAAGGTTTTATTAAAAATTTATTATTCTCAAAATTATTTTCCATTCTTTTTATATACACAAGAAAATTATTTAACTCATTTTCAAATTTTTTTTATTTTTTTAATGCGCATGCGCTAGATTAACTTAAGCATAGTAGCGCTTATGCGTAGTAGTGAAACATTGCTTAACTTTATCACTACTAGAATTTATAGTCACTTCGTATATCCAATAGAACGTAAATATTTTACTACTTCAAGATGGCCATTTTTTTCTGCAGCACGAGTAATTTCCCATTCTGTTGCTTTATATCCAATAGAATGTAAATATTTTAGTACTTCAAGGTGACCATTTTCTGCGGCACCTTTAATTGTCCATATGTCTCCTTTATACCCTAATTCATGTAAATATTTTAGTACTTCAAGATGACCATTTTTTGCAGCACCATCAATTGCCCATTTGTCTCCTTTATACCCTGATTCATGTAAATATTTTAACATTTCAAGGTGACCAAAAAATATAGACAAATTAATTGCATATGTTAATCTATATCCAACAGAATGTAAATATTTTATTACTTCAAGGTGACCATTTCTTGCAGCTTTATCTATTGCATCTTCTGTACCTTTATATCCTAATTCATGTAAATATTTTAACATTTCAAGATGACCAAAAAATATAGACAAATTAATTGCATATGTTAATCTATATCCAACAGAATGTAAATATTTTAGTACTTCAAGGTGACCATTTCTTGCAGCTAAATCAATTGCATCTTCTATACTTTTATAACCTAATGAATGTAAATATTTTTGTACATCTTCTGTACTCTTTTTACCTAATTGATTTAATAATTTAATTAAATCAAGTTTACCTATACTTTCAGCAAAATCAACTTTATTACCTTGTTTATACCCATATTTTTTTAATATTGCAGTAATATAAAATACTTGAGTTGAAGGATTTATTAAAAATTTATTATTCTCAATATTATTTTCCATTCTTTTTATATATAAAAGAAAATTATTTAATTCATTTTCAAAATTTTTTTTTATTTTTTTAACAAAAAAATAAAAAGATTATTAATTCTATAGTCTAATTATCAAATACAACTTTATCTTCATCATCTTCATTATCATATTCAGTAGTTTCTGTAATTTCAGTAGTTACTGTAGTTACTGTAGTAACTTCTTCATCTTCATCATCTTCGTCATCTTCATCTTCTTTATCTTCTTCATCTTCATCATATTCTTCAGTCATTTCAATATCATTATCATATTCAGTAGTTTCTGTAATTTCAGTAACTTCAGTAGTAGTAACTGTAGTAACTTCAGAATCTTCAGTCATTTCAATATCATGAATATTAATAATATTTAATTTTTCTTCTATTAATCTTAATCTTTGTTCTATTGATCTTAAAAATGAATTTTGCATTTCGTTTTCCATTCTTTTTATATATAAAAGAAAATTATTTAATTCATTTTCAATTTTTTTTTGATTTAAAATATTTTTACAAATAATAAAAAAATGATTGATGATGAGATTAATGAAATATCTGAATTTCAAAAAGAATTTAAACTTTTTGAAGAATTATTAAAATTTGAATTTGAAGAATCAGATTCTGAAGATGACACTTATTATACATCTGATGAAGCTACTTATTTTACATCTGATGATGAAGATGAAGTTAAAGAAAAACCTATAGTTCCAATTCCTTTAAAAACAGTTCAAATCATGGAACTGCATAAAGATAAGCTGAAATGGATTAATTATGTTCCAACTTATAATGTTATTAATGATGATTATCCTGCTATAGATAGTTTCTTAACAAAAAAACATTACAAAAAAAGAAAATTTAGTTTTGAAAAACCATTTAATGTTGATATTAATTTTACTGAAGATGGAAAACCTTCAACAATTCATTTTGTAGAGAAACTACCCATTTTTTGTAAAAATATTTTAAATGATAATTATTGTCCTTTTGGAAGAAAATGTAAATACAATCATGATATTCCTTATTGTTGTACTGTAAAGGAAAGACTGATATGTACTAAATCTTCATGTCAATATAGACATTTATCTCTATGTTCTGAATACCCTAAATGTAAGAATAAAGAGTGTGTTTTATTTCATCCAAAAAAGTCAGAATTATCTAAATTAAGAAAAGCTAAAACTAAATTATGTAAATATATTCTTGATAAAAAAGAATGTAAAAATATAAATTGCAAATATGCTCATTCTTTTAAAGAAATTGAAGAAAATGTAGAAATTTGTCATTATACTCCATGTAAATTAGTAGAGAGTAAATTAAAGAAAAATAAAAAAGGAGAAAAAATATTAATATATAAAAATGTTAATGATAAAAAGTGTAATTTTTTACATCAAGGTGAAAGCATTTTAAATTATATTGCTAGAAATTTAAAAACAAAATAGATATGAGGATTTCAGAGTGATTTAAAAAAAATCTTTACATTTATAAAATGTATAATAGTAGAATGTTTTTATATTATGAAAAGCATGAACAATATAGAATAACTTTTAATATTAATTCAGATTTAGAACATAGAGCAATAAATGATAGACATATTAAAGTATTCGCACAAGAAGATTTTACAGTAAAATCAAATTCATATAATAACATTTCTTTAATGTGTGGTGTTGAAATAGATAAAGGACATATAGTGATTTCAATTGCAGAAAATTATAAACCAGAACTAAATTTACTAAATTCTATTGTAACAGAGTCTACTGACGATATTAAAATAACTGTATATAATAACGATAAAAAAGATATAAACATTAAAAAAGGAGATTTGTTATGTTGTATATCAACTTATAATGGTGTTTTAAATGTAAATTATATATCACATAGAGATGCTTTAGAACATGTTAAAGAAGAACAAATTAGACAACAAAATGAATCAGGAACTAAACAGAAAAGTGATAAAGAATCTGTAAAATCTTTATTATCAAGTATAGAAGAAGTAATTAAAGATAAACCTAGTATAGATAAATCTGATGAAGATATATTTAATTTTGGTAAAAAGTGATTTAGCGAAGCATTGATAACAAAAGTGATTTAAAACAAATTTTTCTTTATAGAAAAAAGAAATGCTATGTAATAATGGATATAATAATGAATGTAAGCAGCTTTATCCAGATCTTAACCAGTTTTCAGAAAATCCATCTGCACCACCACAATCTATAGATCATAACTTTAGATTACAAAAGATTAGTGAAATTCAAGATAAAATAGAATGTGAAAGGAAAAGAAGAGAGATTTTAAGTAAAAAATATCACAGAGCTGTAAGAATCATTTCAGCAGTTGATAATACATTACTAGCAAGCACTATGACACTTGGAGCTGTTGGTATTGGTTTTTTAACAACAATAGTTGGTACACCAGTAGCTATTGCATGTGAAGGTGCAGCATTAGGTATGGGTGTATTATCACTAATAGGATCACAAGCTATTAAAAAATTAACAATAAAAGCAGAAAAGCATGAAAAGATTAAAGTACTAGCTGATGCAAAACTAAATACAATAAGTAGTTTTATTTCTAAAGCTACATCAGATCAATATATTGATGATGCAGAATTTAATATGATACTTTCAGAACTTGAAAAGTTTCAAGCTATGACTGAACAAATTAGAACAAAATCTAAGAATGATATAGATGAACAGACTAAAGAGTCACTCATTAATCAAGGTAAAGAGAAAGCAATGAAAGAAGCTATGGAATTGCTAAATAGGAGATTTAACAAAAATCAGAATATAGGAGTGATGAATAATACTCTTAAGAATTAAAAAAACATATATTATGTATTATTTGAACATATATTATGTATTAAAAACATAATATATGTTGATTTAAATCCCTTTAGGGATCTAGGGATCACATTGTGATTTAAAAAAATTATTGCTTATATAAAAATGTATGCAAAAGCTACAGATATTGATACAAGATTAAAACTAGCAAAAGAACTTGCTAGTTTAAAGAAAAGTATATATCAAGATGATGTAAATGAAAAGTTAGGCTATGATGCTTTACAGACTAACTTGGAAAAGTTGTACAAACCAATAATTGATAGTCAATCTGGAATAAAAGAAGGTATATCTAAATTAGAAAATAAAGCTGATCAAATAGCAAATACTTTTTCAAATTATCCTGCTTTACTAGATTCTGAAACTAAAGCAATCATGCCACCTGAAGTTGTAGATAACATGAGATTAGGACCTATCGCAGCAGAATATCTAAAGTTATATACTGCTAAAAATAGTAAAAAAGTATCAGATGATATATTTGGTATACATTACAATGAAAGTGATAAAAAATTTTACATTGGTAAAAAACCAATAACTATTGAAGGTGATGATATAACCATTGAAGGTAAAAAATACATTGGTACACCAGGCCTTTGGGAGATTATAGTAAAATCTCATCCTGTTAGATATACTAACGATGATCGTAATAAGTATAAAGAAATTTTAAATCAAACAGATGCAATTCGCTCTGATTTAAATTTAGCTAAACCAAAATCATCTAGAGGTTATAAGTACACTAATGTAATAAAACCTATTTGGGAAGAGATGATTGGAAAGTCTGGAAAAGGAGTTGTTATTCTTCCTAGTGATCCAAATGCACTATTTGATATGCTTAAATTACGCTTAGCTGGTTTACAAGCAGGAAATACTGGAACAAGAAATGAGATTGTTGCTATTTGTGATGAGTTGTTACGACAGGGGCAAATAGATGATGATGAGTATAAAGCATTACAGAAAGCAATAACTTAAAGTGAATTAAAAAAATTATTTTATATATAAAAAATGACAATATACTATGATACTCTTATCAATCTGTCAGATAGTCAGAAAGAGAAAATTAAAAAAGCAATTGAATCTGGTACTAATGCTAGTATAAAACTATCTTATGAAGATTTAAATGGTGAACACAAAATAGCTTTAACAGAGTCACAAAGAAACAGAATGAAAGCAGCCTATTTAAAAAATAAGGGTATAACACTTTCACTGAGTAGAGCACAACTTAAACATAATGCTAAAAAAAATGGTGGATTTCTACCTCTACTTGGATTAATTGGAAGTGTAATTGCATCAAAAGTTGTTCCGGCTATAGCAACAGGATTATTGACTGGAACAGCTGCAGCTGCTGGAAGTACTATAGTTAATAAAATTGCTGAAAAATGGTATTATTTATATGAAAAAGAATGGTTATGGATTTAAAATTAGAAAAGTAGGAAAAGGTGTATTTTTAAACCCATGGAATAGTGGTTATAATCATTTAGACGGATATTATTCAAAAAATGGAAATGAATATTCATCAGTAGGTAGAGGTTTGTTATTAGGAGAAAATTCTCCATTTAAGAATATACCATTATTAAATTTGTTTCTTTAGATCACTTCGTGATCCAGGCTTCACTAAGTTTTGAAAGAACCAATGCTTCATAAAAATATATATTTTTTAAAAAATATATATTTATTGTTTCCACAAAGAAGTTGGATAATAAAATAAATCTAATCCACTTCTATACTTTCCATTTAATAAATCAGAAGACAAATCTATAACAACAAATCCATGATTTTTTGACCAAGCTTCATTACAAAACTTTTTAAATTCATCTAATTTCATATCATTCGAAACATGATCATTATAAATATGATTTACATTTTTAGAATCTTGTTTAAACAAGCAAATAAAATTTGCATTTTCTCTTATCGTTCTCCTAGGCAACTCAAAATAATTTTGTGCCAAGTAGAAACAATCTACATTGCTATGTCTTCCTCTTATATAGTACTTTTCACACTTGTTTTGTTTTGTTAATTGTAAATCATCAAATATCATTAAATTATTTTTAATAGAGTTGAGACTTTCAGGTTCTGGTACATCCTCTGCTGTTTCAA